CTCACTGTTTGATTATAATAGGTCTTGATGAGGATCTTTTTATTTACACTACTTAGAGCTTCCTGTTTGTATAGATTCATAACTTTCATTAAAGTCAGGAAATTTTCCTCCAGCATTTTGCCAAAAATATTCTTTCTACCTGTTTTCCTATTTCTTTGGGCTCTTATTTTGCATTTGTTGGTTTGCTACTTGTGGTCCAACAGGTCTCGTGGACTCTATTTATTTTTCTTTATAGTTTTCTTTTTATTCTTCAGACTGAATAATCTCATTTAACCTGTCATAAAGTTCTTAGTCTTTGTTTTTTTCTGAAATCTATTGAATGAAATTCTGTAGTTAATTTCTTATTTTAATTGTACTTTCAAGCCCCAGAATCTTCTTTTTTGGTTCTTTTTTGAAATTTTTTATCTTGTTATTGATAATCTATTGAAGCTTTATTGTGATTTCCTTTAGTTCTTTGTCAGTGGTGTTCTTTAGTTCTTTTGAGTATATTTTTAAAGACGATATTCTTAGGTCTGTATAGTCACTAAAGGCTTTTTTTTAGCTTCCATTCAAGTGATTTGGCAGATTGTCTTCAATAGCATTTTTAACTCACCTTTTTCTTGATCTGGCACCCACTTGGCTGTTGTAACTATCTTACAGAGAATTTACAAAGTTGATTCTGAGAGTTTTTGTTTATGGTGTATGTGCAAATATTCTTGTGGAAGAACCTTTTGCTTTTTATTGTCAGTCTCTGACAGTTTTTTGGGTTTTTTTTTTTTTTTTGCTATAGGGTGTTCGCACTCATCAGACAGAAAGTGAGAAATCACCCCCCGGGGGGATCGCCACACTGCAGTCCCTTCTCTTCCATTCTTCTCTTGGGATCTTGGGTACACATACACATGAACCCGGCATGAGTTTAAGCCACCGAGTCTGGAATTTGAACCGCAGTAGACTACATGGGAGTCCAGCGACATAGCCATTACGCCAACTGCTGGTCCCAGCATTTATCTTTTTTAAGAATTTTGGGGGATAGGTATGGTACTTGATAAGATAGGCTATTCATTATATATTTTTCATAAAGCTAAGTTATTATCAGGTTGGCATTTTTTATCCAGTGTATATAGTCTACAGTATGAAAAAGTATGAGCATACAGTTCTTTTATCATGAAGAAGAAAACAGCTTTTATTGATAATTGGGAGGTTATAGGGTGGGTTCATAGTTCAACTTGATGAAGTTGAGTTGAGGAAAAGGAAGGTTTTTTTCTGTACATTATTCAGTATTGTAATACTTTACAAAAGGTATTGTTAGATTGTTCTCTCTGAAAAAATTGTTTCTGAAAGTAGTCATAAAGTCCAACCACAGGGTCATGTGGTAAGTTGCTGTAACCCTAACCACATGGGAGACCTGGCTTCAATTCCCAGCCCACCCTAAAAAGCGGGACATGTTGATGTCCACCTGTAATCTCAGTGATGCAGGGGAGCCAAAGCAGAAAGATTGCACACTTAAGGATGGCTTGGGTAGCATAACATTGCCCTGTCTTAAAAAAAAAAAAAAAAACACAAAAGAATTCCCAGTTTGAAAGGCTATGTCAAGAGGATCACAACTTAGCAAAACTGCATTTAAAAAGAAAAAGAAAAAATTATTTTATTTAACTTCATTTATTTTTTACTTTTATTTATTTATTTTTATTTGACCAGAAAGGGTCAGAGAAAAAATGAGACAGCAAGCTGCCAGATCCAGGACTCAAACCATGATCAGCTATGTGGGAGTCCAGCGCCTTTAACCACTGTACCACCTGCCAGTTCCGAAATTCCATCTTAAAAACAAAAACAAAAAAGTAGTCATGACCTAGATGTAAAAGTCCTTGATTGTTATCTTAACACATTATTTCTAGATCTAGGTCAGCTTATCTAACTTTGTAATCTTGGACATATTATGTTTCTTCATCTTTATGATTACTTTAAAGGTAAAACGCTCAGCTTGTACTAGGACTATTACTTCAGTAGCTCAGAAAGAAGGGTGAAAAAGACAAAAATGAGTAGGAAGGCTAACTGAAAAGAAAAACAACCAATTGAATAATTATGTCAGTTGAGTAGGATGTTCCCACTGCTATTCATTTCAAACTAATTTCATTTTGCTACTTCAGTATATGTCTATTAAACTTTCAAGCAGTTCAAGCTAACATACCTCCTGATGACAGTCTTGCTTGATAATTAGTTTTTAGACATTTAATAAATATTAAACATGGGCTGGTTAATGATGTGTTTAAGGCAGCTGGGTCATACATGGCTAACTGCTGGGTTCAAGCCTGGAAGCCAGCTGCTTAAAACATGCCAGGTACATGTATGTGCCCAAAAACCCAAAAGGAATCATGGAAGAGAAGGGATTACACATTAGTCTTCTATAGTGGCTGCCTTCTCTCTCTCTCCCTCCTTCCCTCTCCCCTCCAGCAAACACACATGCTATCACTTTTTAAAAGTATTAAGCAGAAATGGTACTAATCTTGTGTATGTTATTTTGTGTCCCTTTTTTTATGTTTAACGGTATTTTTGCCAATCATTCCATGTCATTCTTTACAAGTTCTTCTATATGATATTTCATCATAGTAACATACCATTGTTTGTTTAAATGTTTTCTCTGTGATGGAGAATTTGGTTGTTTCTTTGCTATTACATGTACAGTACACTTCTATGTGCCAGTTTATTTTCCTAGAATATATAGTTAGAGGTTAAATTGCTGGGCATAGTTTTGGACCTTTCCTGGAAGTAAACAACATTTATCACTTGTGTATCCTTCCAGAAATATTATCACATATACATTTTACACACACCTGTATAATTTATAAAACCAATCCTCTCTAAATATGAAATTTCTAATAGCTGAATTTCACATGTAAATGTACATTTTGTTATGAAGTTTTATGTCACTTAAGGACAGGAATACATTCTTTTTTTTTTTTTGGAGAGGTTTTTGCTATAGGGCGCGTGTGCTCGCCAGACAGACAGAGAGACATAGAAACAGAAAGCGAGAAATCACCTCCCAGGGGGGATGGTCACGCCGCAATCCCTTCTCCTCCATTCTCCTCTCGGGATCTTGGGCACGCACGCACACGCGCCCGGCGTGAGTTTTAAGCCACTGGGTCCAGCGCGCGAACCGCAGTCGACTACGTGGGAGTCCAGCGACATAGCCATTACGCTAACTGCTGGTTCCCTGGACAGGAATACATTCTTTTTTTTTTGGAGAGGTTTTTGCTATAGGGTACGTGCGCTCGCCAAACAGAGACAGAGAGACAGAAATCGAGAAATCACCCCCCAGAGGGAATGGCCATGCCGCAATCCCTTCTCCTCCATTCTCCTCTCGGGATCTTGGGCACACATGCACACGCGCCCGGCGTGAGTTTTAAGCCACCGGGTCCGGGATGTGAACCGCGGTCGACTACGTGGGAGTCCAGCGACGTGGCCATTACACTAACTGCTGGTTCCCCAGGACAGGAATACATTCTGAAAACTATTTTTAGGCACTTTCATCGTTGTGAACATCATGTAGTATACTTGCATAAACCTAGATGGTATAGCTCGCTGCATGTCTATGCCTATTATAATCTACTGTCGTGTGGTGCATGACCGTTTGTCAAATTGTCCTCCATAGAGGTTTTGCTAAGCAGTGCCTATTTTTCTGCACCCTGACCAATACAGTGTGTTGTCTGTCAAAAGTTTGGATTATTGCCTGTGTGAAAAGTGAAAACTACTATCATCTTCACTTGGTTCTGTATTATAGGTAGATTGACCTGTTCATATGTATGAAAGCCATGATTTTACTGAGATGCTATTTGGAGGCATTAGACTTTGCTTGTGGTTAATTTTGTCATGTATAAAGTTGTTTTCATGTTTACATAGTCAAGTGTATTGGTCTTATCACTGAAATGTCATGTTATTTCTATAAATGTCTTTCCCATTCTGAGATTATTGAAAGAACCTAACATGGTCAAAATGGGTTCGTGAATCATAAGTTACAGATAAAAGTCATAAGCTCTTCCTGGTATATGAACCAATTTTTAATGTTAACTTTTTATTATTTATTGCTCAGGAGATGATGACCTCCCTCACTTGATTCACGTTTAGAATGTGAGGAAATATGTGTGACAGTAACACATTGTTGTATGTGCCTGATTGCAGTGTCTCATTAAGATACCTGAAACAGAACACTGGATTTGGTCTTTGTCATGACATCACCCTATGGATTAATTCAAATTCATGGTGTAGTTCTAAGTAAAACTATTGATTAGAGTTAAAGGAAGGCATTTCTGTTGCAGAATTTCTCTTTAGCAATTGATTGTATACATCATTGTTTGGTTGTTAGGACATCTAGACCCATAGTTCTTTCTTTTTGATGCTTCTGTAGTTCTGGTCCTCTTTCTAGGACTGCCTAATTAATTACATTCTTTTAACTTTGAACTGAGGGTTAGAATTTTTCGAATTGAATTACTTAGGTATGTTTTACATATTTTAGTAATGCATTTTTTAGTAGATAAGGCATTAATAAAATTACTACTGGGGCTAGAAGGATGGCATGGAGATTAGGACAGCAGGATCCCACATGGCCCACTGTGTGGTTTGAGTCCTGGCCCTGGTAACTTGAAAAACACACATGCACACATGCCCAAAATCCCAAAAGGAAAATGGAGGAGAAGGAATAGTGGCATGGCCATCCCCCCTGGGGGAGCTTTCTCATTTTTTCTCCTTCTCTCTTTGGCTCTGGTGAGGAGCACACATGCCCTAGAGTGAAAGAGAGAAGTAGAGAGAGAGAGAGAATTACTACTTTGCAACTTAAAATATTTTCTTCAGAGTGATAATACTAAAGTTAAGTTTTATATAATTTTCCTCTCATCTTCTTGTTTATATTATTTCTGTAAAAACTTAACGTTTCTTTTAATTTATACTCTTCAGTGACTATTTAGAACAGTTGTATAGGATGGTTATTGAATAATTGTAAACTTAAAAGAATGTCTATTTTCACCTAGATCCCAAAGAAGAGAAAGAGGAAGAAGAGGATTCTGCCCTCCCTCAGGAAGTTTCTGTTGCTGCAACTAGACCTAACCGGGGCTGGCGCAGCAGTAGCAGGTCATCTCTCTCTCGCCATCGTGACACAGAGAACACCCGAAGCTCTCGGTCCAAGACTGGTTCATTGCAGCTCATCTGCAAATCAGAACCAAATACAGATCAGCTTGATTATGGTACAGTGCATTTGCAGTATGATGACTTAATAACCCAGTTGCTGATTGAACATGGCCTAAATAAGCTTAACTTTCAGATACAGGTTTCGTGATATAGGGTGGATTTCTTTTGGACAATTTGCAAACATTCTTCATTTGTATAATTACCCACTGTAGTAATTTGGTTTGAATTCTTGGCTGCAGAGAGAAAATATCCTAGATTTGCATAAGTAAAGTTTTGTTTTGGCTCTATTTTTCAGATGTTGCAGATGAGCATCAGTCTGCAGGTGGCATTAGGTAAAAACATCATTTTCACATTTAAACTTTGGGGGACATAGAATATAATCACATTAAATGATTTCGAAGTTTTCTGTTTGGAAGGTTTTGAGCTATAAAAGAAATTAGCAGGACCAGCATTTAGCGTAATGGCTATGTCACTGGACTCCCACGTAGTCGACCACGGGTCGCATCTCGAACCCGGTGGCTTAAAACTCAATGCTGGGCGTGTGTGCTTGTGTGCCCTAGATCCCGAGAGGAGAATGGAGGAGAAGGGATTGCAGCGTGGCCATCCCCCCTGGGGGGTGATTTCTTGCTTTCTGTCTCCCTGTCTCTGTCTGGCAAGCACACGCGCCCTATAGCAAAAACCTCTCCAAAAAAAAGAGAGAAAAAAATAAATTAGCTTCAGTTTTGATATTTAGATTCTACTTTGATCTTGATTATTAACTATTAATATATAACCAGAAAATCATGTCTTGAGCACCTCCTGTGTTTGGGTTTATTCCATGATAGGCATTAATGTGAAATAGGGTGTTTTCACCAGGTTTTGGAAATTTTATTAGTGTCTTCTGTGGTAAGCTATGATTTTTGTCTGTTGATAGGCAGATTACTAAAAAGTCCACTGTTTTTAAATTTTTTATGCCATTTATTTACTTATTTATTAGAACTTTAAAACATTTAAATAAAATAATTAACTGCCAGAGGAGAGTGTATGCATTCACCATAGGAAAGAAGTAAGGGGGGGGATAGAGAGGGAGAGAGAGGAAGCACTCCCTAATGGAGTATAGTAAATCCAAATCCTCTTCTTCCATTTTTCCTTCTTAACAGGATTTTGGGCACACTGAGCCATTATGTTTTTCAAGCTGTTGGGCAGGATTCAAATCATGTGGAATCCAGTTCCAAATACAGAGCACTTATCTACTGCACTGTTGGGCTGGCCCACCCTATTTTTAGTTAATAAAATAATAGCATGTCTACGATTTATGTAAGTTTGGTTCCAATTGTTACTCCTTAGGGTAAAACAGCTAGATTGCAATCCAACTAGATCATAAAGATGAAATCCTAGATACTTTAATGTGAATTTTTGGCTACCTCTCAGTAATTTACTAAATAAAGTATGGTTAGATATCATTACAATTAGAATTTCTCATTTCTATTTTTAGTAGTGATGAAGAAGAAGAAGAAATGTTAATCAGTGAAGAGGAAATACCATTCAAAGATGACCCAAGAGATGAGACCTACAAACCCCACTTAGAAAGGCATGTCTCATTATACTCTAGATAAGTCAGTGAAACATAAATAGAAAAGCACTATTACATGCTCTTATTTTGTCTTTTTGCCAAACTAACTAGTATAGACATGACTTTAATTAAATAATTTTGTACTTGTTTTTCAAATTTAATGTTTTCATATCTCTTCCTTGCATATCTAGTTTTCTGTTTATGCAACTTTATTTTATAGAACTGTATTATCTTAAGGATCATAAAGATTGCCTGAATATTTAGGACTTGTCTCGTTTCTTTTTACAGTATAGTGAGATGTGAGTCTTAGCCATTTATAGCTTAGGGCATTCATCCCGTAGGCACCAGATATAGATATTTCATTATTTTGTGTGTGTGAGGAATGAATAGTGAGAGATGATATTCCCTTAACTGAGGGTTATGATTTTGTAATAAGCCGATAATAATCCCAAGTTTTAACTTGTTGCCATAGTCTTCGTTGTAAAAGTCTTGCAAGATACCAATGTTGAACTGCATTTGTGTTTTCAGGGAAACCCCAAAACCACGAAGAAAATCAGGGAAAGTAAAAGAGGAAAAAGAGAAGAAGGAAATTAAAGTGGAAGTGGAAGTAGAGGTGAAAGAAGAAGAGAATGAAATTAGGGAGGATGAGGAACCTCCTAGGAAGTAAGTAGGCAGTTACTACTAAAAATAGAAATCTAGGGAACCAGCAGTTAGCGTAATGGCTATGTCGCTGGACTCCCACGTAGTCGACCGCAGTTCGTGTCCTGGACCCGGTGGCTTAAAACTCACGCCGGGCGCGTGTGCGTGCGTGCCCAAGATCCCGAGAGGAGAATGGAGGAGAAGGGATTGCGGAGTGACCATCCCCCCTGGGGGGTGATTTCTCGCTTTCTGTCTCTATGTCTCTCTCTGTCTGTCTGGCGAGCGCACGCGCCCTACAGTGAAAATCTCTCAAAAAAAAAAAAAAATAGAAATCTAATCAGTTTTGAGACTGCTGGTAGAGAAATGGGTGGGAGAATGAAGAGGATTGTTGACATATTCCTACTAAAAGTACATGTTTTATGTACGTGTGAGTGTGTCTGTTTATACTATATATAAAAATGTGTTTGTTTATTTTAACTCACAATAATTTGTCCTCAGGCTGGCCCTATTGCCTTACCGTTAAGAGAGCTGGATCCCACATTGGCTACATGGCCAACTGCAGAATTGTAGTCCCTGCTCTGGGATTTTGAAAAACTTGGGATCGGGATTGGGAAGTTGTGCATACATGCCCAGAATCTTGACAGGATAGAGAAACAGAGGAGAAGGAATTGTGTCACTACCTCCCATCATAGGATTACCTTCTCCTTCTCCCTTGCTCCCTCTTTATCTCTCCGGCAAGTACACATAGTCTGGCAATATTTTTTTTTCTTGTGGGGTTTTCTTTTCTTTTCTTTTCTATTTATTTATTTGTTTGTTTGTTTGTTTGTTTATTTATTTAGAGAAAGATTTTTGCTGTAGGGCACGTGTGCTCACCAGAGAGATAGAGAGCAAGAAATCACCCTCCCAGGGAAGATGGTCACGCCATAATCCCTTCTCCTCCATTCTTAGGGATTTTGGGCACTCAGTGCCAAGCATGAGCATTAAGCTGCCGGGTCTAGGACTTGAACTACAATCGACTACGTGGGAATCCAGTGATGTAACCATTATGCCATATGCTGGTACCCTGAAAAGTTTAATTTTTAAAGCAGTATGTAAGTTCAAATGAACAGGGGTAAACTAACAGGTGTACAGAAGGAGCAAGTAAAAGTATGGAAAGTAATATATCCTCAAAGGAGAGGCAAGGCAAATAATATAGTAACATTAATCAGGTAAAGAAAACGTTTTCTAGTAACCATTTCCCATTGCAAAAATAATATTTTAAGTGGCTAGGCTTTTTGTTTCTGTTGCAAAGAGCATGTATTTTATATTCTTTAGAGTTTTTAGATGGGACCCTTTTACTATGCACTTTTTTTTTTTCTTTTCTCATAAAGAGAGAAATAGAGACGGAAAATGATAAATCACCTCCCAGGGGGATGGCCATACTGCAATCCCTTTTCAGTCTCCTCTTAAGATTTTGGGCATGCATACACATGTGCTTGGTGTGAATTTTAAGCCATCAAGTACAGGACTCAAACTGTAGTCGACTACGTGAAAGTCCAGCTATGTAACCATTATGCCATCTTCTGGTCTTCTTTTCTGCTTTTTAAAATTTAAGTGTTAGACTTTGTAACAACACTGAAATTTATCCTAATATTCCATATTTGTAAAAAGTATATATTTAATCTGTGATGCAAATTGATTTGAAATAAGGTACTATACCATAAAGTTTTGGCTTGATTTGCCAGATGTGTCTTGCAGATTCTGTGTTTTGTGTTATCCTTTGTGCGTGTCACCTTCTCTCTGGCCTTCAGTGTAGAAGAGTACTTCAGAATGTTCATGGAAATACGGAAGTAAGGTAGAAGTTTATTTTGGTGCAAAAAAGTTTTTAATTCCGTGCATAGTTGTATAATACGTATTTCCAGTAACTTTTTGAAGGTCCCGGTATGCTTTCAGCAACATTTTATTCTATAAACTTTAGTCTAAGATATGTGGATAATTATTCTGTCTTTAATTATAGGAGAGGAAGAAGACGAAAAGATGACAAAAGTCCACGTTTACCCAAGAGGAGGTGAGGAATTTATATTCCTACTATTTTGTATCATATTTCCAGTGCTAGGCACTTAACTCATACATTTCATAATAATACTTTAGGAATGGCTAATTAAAAATTTTACAAAAATTGTTTCAGTAATGTTAGTGATGCACAAATGCTTTGATTCCCTATAGTAGTTTGAATTAAAGACCACTATACAGAATGTCACTTTTCCGCTGTTAACTTTTTCTTCTACATTTAATAATAGGAAAAAACCTCCAATCCAGTACGTCCGCTGTGAGATGGAAGGATGTGGAACTGTTCTTGCTCATCCTCGCTATTTGCAGGTAGGTGAAGATTGTATAATACAGCCTTCAGGTCAATATTACTTGATTGCATATGTCATGAGACTTTAATTTATGAGCATTTTTAAAATATGTTTATCATTGACAAATAATGTTAGGCAAAATCTTTTCTTTAGTTATTCCATCTTAGTCTACTTGTGCTGCTGTAACAGAATTCCTGAGTCTAGTTTCCTTTTTTTGGTAAGAAAGACTTGCTATAGGGTGTGTGCACTCGCCAGAGAGACAGAAAGTGAGAAGTCACCCCCCCAGTGGGATGACTACTCTGCAATCCCTTCTCCAGTCTCCTCTCAGGATTTTGGGCATTATATACGTATGTGCCTTGTATGAGTTTTAAGTCCCTGAGTCTGAGACTCCAACTGCAGTCAACATGTCAGAGTCCAGTGACATAACCATTACACCATCTGCCAGTCCAAACCCCAATAATTTTTAACAAATTGAAACTTACTGGCTCTTGGTTCTAGAGCCTAGAAATCCAAGAGCATGGTATGGGTATCTGGCAGGGGCCTCCTTAACTGCATTGTCTTGTAGCAGAGGCAAAAGGGCAAGAGGAGGCAGAACTTGCTTTTATAATAAATTCATTCTCATGAATCTTTTCCTGACGGCTCCACCCACATTAACCTAAAGACCTCCATTTAGACCTCATCTCCCAACACTCTTGCTTTGAGGGTTAAGTTACCAGTGCCTGAACTTTTAGGGGACACATTCAAACCATAGCATGTTGTGTTTTTTTAAAATGTGACTAAGAACCTAAGTTCAAATAGAGAATTATTCTTGGAATCTTGAAATATTTCACTGCTCCCTAATGTAGAGTAAATATTTCCAATATATGCGTTGATTGTCATATTTTATTTTAACTTATATTAGGAAAAACGGTAAAATTAGCAACTCAAATTAGTGATTTTTTACATATTATGTGGAGTGAATAAAACACTTTTCATTTGGATTTTGTTTTAGTTTTAAGTGAGTAGATCTTTTTTTTTTTAAAGAAATGAATAAAGGTATGGTAGCCAGCAGGCAGCTGAATCCCATATGGGTGACTCCACAATTTGAAATCTGGCCCTAGCAACTTGAAAAACCACACCAGGCGTATATTCTTACATGTCCAAAATCCTGAAGGAAGAATGGAGGAAAAGGAATTCTGGCATGGCCATCCCTCCTACAGGTTGATTTCTCATTTTCTCTTTCTTTGGCAAGTGCACATGCCCTTGCAAAATAAATTCAAAAACAAAGGGACCAGCAGTTAGCATAATGGCTATGTCACTGGACTCCCATGTAGTCGACCGCAGTTCGCATCCCGGACCCAGTGGCTTTTAAACTCATGCCGGGTGCATGTGCGTGCGTGCCGAAGATCCTGAGAGGAGAATGGAGGAGAAGAGATTGCGGCGTGACCATCCCCCCTGGGGGGTGATTTCTCGCTTTCTGTCTCTATGTCTCTCTCTGTCTGTCTGGCAAGCACATGCGCCCTATAGCAAAAACCTCTCCAAAAAAAAAAAAAATTCAAAAACAAAGAAGTTAGTGAAGGTGGTATGGCTTATATTTAGATCTTAAAGAAAATGTAAGAGTCAAATATTATTTAGGAAATCCATCTGCCAGTCCAAACCCCAATAATTTTTAACAAATTGAAACTTACTGGCTCTTGGTTCTAGAGCCTAGAAATCCAAGAGCATGGTATGGGTATCTGGCAGGGGCCTCCTTAACTGCATTGTCTTGTAGCAGAGGCAAAAGGGCAAGAGGAGGCAGAACTTGCTTTTATAATAAATTCATTCTCATGAATCTTTTCCTGACGGCTCCACCCACATTAACCTAAAGACCTCCATTTAGACCTCATCTCCCAACACTCTTGCTTTGAGGGTTAAGTTACCAGTGCCTGAACTTTTAGGGGACACATTCAAACCATAGCATGTTGTGTTTTTTTAAAATGTGACTAAGAACCTAAGTTCAAATAGAGAATTATTCTTGGAATCTTGAAATATTTCACTGCTCCCTAATGTAGAGTAAATATTTCCAATATATGCGTTGATTGTCATATTTTATTTTAACTTATATTAGGAAAAACGGTAAAATTAGCAACTCAAATTAGTGATTTTTTACATATTATGTGGAGTGAATAAAACACTTTTCATTTGGATTTTGTTTTAGTTTTAAGTGAGTAGATCTTTTTTTTTTTAAAGAAATGAATAAAGGTATGGTAGCCAGCAGGCAGCTGAATCCCATATGGGTGACTCCACAATTTGAAATCTGGCCCTAGCAACTTGAAAAACCACACCAGGCGTATATTCTTACATGTCCAAAATCCTGAAGGAAGAATGGAGGAAAAGGAATTCTGGCATGGCCATCCCTCCTACAGGTTGATTTCTCATTTTCTCTTTCTTTGGCAAGTGCACATGCCCTTGCAAAATAAATTCAAAAACAAAGGGACCAGCAGTTAGCATAATGGCTATGTCACTGGACTCCCATGTAGTCGACCGCAGTTCGCATCCCGGACCCAGTGGCTTTTAAACTCATGCCGGGTGCATGTGCGTGCGTGCCGAAGATCCTGAGAGGAGAATGGAGGAGAAGAGATTGCGGCGTGACCATCCCCCCTGGGGGGTGATTTCTCGCTTTCTGTCTCTATGTCTCTCTCTGTCTGTCTGGCAAGCACATGCGCCCTATAGCAAAAACCTCTCCAAAAAAAAAAAAAATTCAAAAACAAAGAAGTTAGTGAAGGTGGTATGGCTTATATTTAGATCTTAAAGAAAATGTAAGAGTCAAATATTATTTAGGAAATCACCTGTTTGATCTTTAACAGCAAATAAAATATGAGAGTGCCTTACTTTTTGATTGTCATTTCATCATGGTAATGTTATCTACCTTTCCTTTTTTTCCTATGTACTGTTAGCTGCACTAAGCTCTGTAGAATGTATAATCTCGTCTCCACAACACTGTGAGACATTTACTGTTATTTTTATTTTACAAATGAGAATTAGAGCTTGAATATTTAAGGCTCCTACTAAGATTATACTGTTAGTGAATGACAGACAAAGATTGGAGCCTTTGTCTATATATTTCTATAGCCTGTATTCTTAAAATAGATAGGATAGTTTTATTATATTGCCCGTTTATCCATATACAAAGCATTTGGCTTTTGTTCAGCACTTTTGACTTAGTAAAGAAAAGAGCATTGAGGAATACTTTTTTTTTAATCCTTTATTACTTTCTTTTACTGTTTTAGCACCACATTAAATACCAGCATTTGCTGAAAAAGAAATATGTATGTCCCCATCCCTCCTGTGGACGACTCTTCAGGCTCCAGAAACAACTTCTACGACACGCCAAACATCATACAGGTACTATTTTAAATGAAGTGTTTATTGGATATCTAAATGCACTGTAGGTGTGCAGATTTATAATGATACAATGTTCTCTAACATAAATGTTAAGAGTCTGTAGTCAAGCATGAGAAAAGATGTAAAAATAAAATGTGAATTTTATGAAGCATGAACAAAATTGAGTTTTTGAGTTATTATCTATTGACGTCTAGAACTTTGACTGAGATAATGATCTTTTATTGAATAAATATCTTTTATCAATTGTGAATCAAACGCTTTACATATACTGCTAACCTATCCAGTCAGCACCACTAAGATGTTGGAGTTTCTTTGCTTCTTTCTGTTAATACTGTTTCATCTCATACAAAAGTTGTTTCTGACAACTTTTAGCTAAAAAAGTAGCATGGATTATTTTAGCTAAATATCAAAAATATATGAAAAACTTGTTTTATAAGTTTAGCTCATTTCAGATTTTTAAATTTGGCTAATACAGTTTTATGCTGTTAGTTTTCCTTTTACAAATTAGTATGTACAGACCCTTTGCAGGTATAGTTTATTTAGCAAATAGATGCCCCATGTGTCTTTGACATGCTGACATGGAGCTAGAAAGGTAGACAAGACCTGTGAATGCTAAAAATTACCATTGGGTTGGAAGTGTGCGTCGTTCGTCCTTGCTATACAAAGTGTGGAAGACAGAACTACCAACATTTGGCATCACTTGGATTCTTGTGAAACATACAGAATTCAGTTCTTGCCTTAGACCTGGTGAATCATCATATGTGCTTAATAAGATTTCACAGAGATCCCTAAGTATACTCAAGTTTCAAAAAAACTTCTCTTCTATACTTGATTTTATAGCAGTTTGGGAAGTAATGTAAGATTAAGCTGAGTATTGTTCACCTTTTAACTTCGGTTCATGTTTTCACTGTGACTATTTCTAGTATTTCCAATAATAGGAGTAGAAAATGTAGTGACAGGCCATCCTGTGGCATAGTGGTTAATTAAGGCAGCCGGATTGCACATGGTTGACTTCATGGTTTCAAGTCTGGGACCTGAAGTTTAAGAAACATGCCATGTGCACGTGCATGTATGCCCAAAATCTCAACAGGAGGCAAAAAAACAGGGAAGAAGGAATTGTAGCATGGCCATTCCCCGTTTCTTCACATTCTCTGTCTCTTTATCTCTCTTCAGTGAACACAGATGCCCTCTGGCAAAATTTTTTTAAAGAAAATGTAGGGAACCAGCAGTTAGCGTAATGGCTATGTTGCTGGATTCCCACGTAGTCGACCGCGTTCGTGTCCCGGACCCGGTGGCTTAGAACTCATGCTGGGCGCATGTGCGTGTGTGCCCAAGATCCCGAGAGGAGAATGGAGGAGAGGGGATTGCAGTGTGACCATCCCCCTGGGGGGTGATTTCTCGCTTTCTGTCTCTATGGCTCTCTCTGTCTGTCTGGAGAGCACACGCGCCCTATAGCAAAAACCTCTCAAAAAAAAAAAAAAGAATGTAGTGATCGTTCATTCAGCATATACATATAACACCTATTTGTCCATGGGCTCTTTAACCAACTGGTGAAAAAATAAATTAAGTACTATGTTCCTTTGCTTCATAGAGTCCATGCCATGTTACTGGATTCATCAAATATCCTGTAGAATTGGGTCAGATGGGGTTATGATGCCACATGGGGTTATGATGTCACAAGGAGGTAGTTAAATGGTACAAAAGGTGTGGGGTGGGAAAATTAGGTAAAGAATATTCATATATGTAGATACTGTTTATATATATATGTATATATATATCTTTTAGCAACAATTTTAATCTTTTGAGAGATGTTTAAATAGTTTTATCTTGGGTAACTTTTTTTTAAGAGAGATTTTTTGCTATAGGGTGTGTACACTCGCTGGAAAGACAGAGAGAGACAGAAAGCAAGAAATCACCCCCAGGGGAATGACAATGTGACAATCCCTTCTCCATTCTCCTCTTGGGATCTTGAGCATGCACGCACTCATACCTGGCATGAGTAAAAGCCACCCTGTCCAGGACTCGAACTGCAGTCAACTAGGTGGGAGTCCAGCAACACAACCATTATGCCATCTGCCGTTCCTTTGGGTAAAATTTTTTTGGGGGGGAGGGTAAAATTTTGAGATTACTTTTCCTCTAGAGAATGTCAGACTTTTGTTTTTATGTCAGATTCTTACTTTGTAAGCATTCATCTTTCACAGTCTGTGAGAAAATAGCTTTAAAGAATTAAGTCTATGGAACATGGATTTACTTGACAACAGTTTACATTAAGAGGTAGATTAATGATAAAATTGAGATTAGGATTTCAGTTCTCATATGTACTTTTTTCTGTTATTTCTTTGTTTATTTTAAACATGTTCCTATGCTACTGAATGTATGGACTAAAAAAAAAATCAAAATAATATATTTCTTTTTAAAATATTTACTGAAGTGTTCATATATTGAAAACAGCATTGTTCTTTATCTAAATTGACCTGCCTGTTCATTTGCTTACTACTGTAAGGGAAAATATTCGGTGTCTAAAAGGAACAATAACCACATTATTTTTCTTCTTAGATCAAAGGGATTATATTTGTGAATATTGTGCTCGGGCCTTCAAGAGTTCCCACAATCTTGCAGTGCACAGGATGATTCACACTGGCGAGAAACCGTTACAGTGAGTATTTACCAGTGAACATCTGGATAAGAAGCATATAATACCACCTTACTTGAAAGTTTTATAAACATTTCAGCTGACACTGCTATTTGCTTTTACACCAAATTAAAGAGTGGATATTGATTGGGGCAGTTACTTAATGACCTCTTTGTTTCTTAAGCAAACAAGAAGAAAAGATCATATTTGTTTTTCATCTGGTAACTTTCCCTTATTCTTCACACGAGGTCTATATTACTGATTATTGTATATATATTTGGTTGTTGGAAAAGTCATGATACATTTGAAAATCATGATGCAAAAATCATGATGCATTTCTATGCATTTGCATAGAAAAATATGTTATAACTTTTTCAACAACCAGTATTTCAGCTCTCAGTTATCACCTTAATCCTGAATAAGAGATTTTTGTTTATCTGTTGGGTTAGCCATTTTTCTCTCTCATTCTTAGATGTGAGATCTGTGGATTTACTTGTCGACAAAAGGCATCCCTTAATTGGCACATGAAGAAGCATGATGCAGACTCCTTCTATCAGTTTTCTTGCAACATCTGTGGCAAAAAATTTGAGAAGAAGGACAGTGTAGTGGCACACAAAGCAAAAAGCCACCCTGAGGTGCTGATTGCAGAAGCTCTGGCTGCCAATGCAGGCGCCCTTATCACCAGCACAGATATCTTGGGTACTAACCCAGAGTCCCTGACACAACCTGCAGATGGTCAGGGTCTTCCTCTTCTTCCTGAGCCCTTGGGAAACTCAACCTCTGGAGACTGCCTACTGCTAGAGGCTGAAGGAATGTCAAAGTCATACTGCAGTGGAACGGAACGGGTGAGCCTGATGGCTGATGGGAAGATATTTGTGGGAAGTGGCAGCAGTGGGGGCACTGAAGGGCTGGTCATGAACTCGGATATACTCGGTGCTACTACAGAGGTTCTGATTGAAGATTCAGACTCTACTGGACCTTAGTGGAAGGAAAGACTTTGGGCACTGGGACAGCTCAGACTTTGTATTTAAAACATAAAAAGGATAAAAAAAATTTTAAGCATTTAAAATCTAGTAAAATAACTGAAGGGCCTGCTCTTTCCATTGTGGATCACAGCATACACATACACACACACCCCTGTTACCATCTCTTGTTCTCCCTCTGTTGTCCCCTTTATAAAATTGATGTTGTCTTTACCAGAAAGGTAGACAAAAAAGAAGAAACAGCAGCTCTTAAAGTGAGGGTTATCTTCATACTTGGTTCCAGCCAGCAGCAGACTTGCCGCTCATTAGCAGATCCCCTTTTCCAACCTGTAACTCTGATGTGCTCTGGATCAGCTTTTAACGTTAGTAGTATATTACTGTCTCCTAAATACCTTCTCCTGTTCCTCTACTGCTGCCTTATGGTCTGGCTTCTAACCACTGCGGCACACTTAGCCTCAAGTATCGTATAATTCTAATCTCTGGAGGCTGGCAGCTTGACTTGGCACTTTAGGGCCCCTTAGCAGGGTGAGCTGTTAAAACAGCAACTCTCACTCACCCCTTCTTCCTCCATTCTCCACTGGGTTTTGGAAAAGGATACATGGGGACCACCTTCCTCCTCTTTGATCCCAGTACCCTCTGTCCCCCCTCCCAAACCTTCATATGGCTCAATGGTGCTTAATTTGCTTGGAAGCAGGCTCCCAAGAGAGAGGGGGCTGCCCTCTACACAGTCTCTTTGACTGTAAGACAGGGCTCTGTATCAATGAGACAGTGAGAGAAGTCCCAGGCTAATGGCAGAAATTTGCACTTTGAACATGTGTGTTTTTGTGTTATGGAACCTGAGATTCCTTATTTATTAATGGAAAGTCTGATTTTTTGGGGGGGGGTGGGTCTTTGTTATATTTTGTGGGACTGGGAGATAATAGATTATTCTGACATGGGATCCTTTCCACAAGAGGTACTTTCAAGGCAAGACATAGGATTGAAGAAGCATAGCCAGCCTCTCAAAATCATAGCTCTCCAGTGGCCTTTAAAGAAAGCTGGTCCTCAGCACTAACAAATCACTACAATAGCCTAGTGCATTTTTGGAAGCCTTCTTAGGGAAGGGAGTTAGGTTTGTGGTAACTAGTGTGCTCTTTGAGATTTTTAGAGCATTGAGATTTAGGAATTTTAAAGGGATAAGGAAAATTACTGAGGGGTTGAATTGCAGATAAGAGATTTTTTTCTTGTGCATTTATTTTTCTTTTATTGTCGCCCCCCCCCCCCCAATTTCCTTTTTTTTTTTTTTTTATTGTCCCCCCCCCCCCCCAATTTCCTTTCATATAAGTTCCCATTGACCCAGCTCTGGCCCCTTGCTTTGATTTTGTGTGTGTGTGTGTGTGTGTGTGTGTGTGTGTTTTGCTTTATCATTGGTTCATTCCAGCTCCCTATTAGTGAAGGACACTGCCGTTAGTAAAGGAACAGTCTGTGAGTCCTAAAGTTTTAAGTCAAAAGAAACCACTGTTTTATTTCCCTTTTAGTAACACTTCAGAGGAGAAAAGGCTGCAGTGGACAAAGTTAATCTATATAATAATGGCTTTGACCTGAAATTCTGTAAATGACCACTTCCATTGGAATAAGGATTTTCATGGAGTGTGGACTGTTTATTAACTGTTTAGGTAGAGGCAGCTACTGTTTTTGTACAATTTCATACTCTCAGAAGACTAAAAACGTATTTGGGCTTATTTTTAGAGCATTAGAACGGCAATTCCTATCCTTCTGTGTACCTCAGAAGCTGGAATTGAATGCTTGCCCTACTCGTTGTGTAATGTCAGAAATTTATGATGGCTGTTGGAAAGAATTAAGTTTTGCTGAGAACAAAATAAGGATCAGCTTGTTTTTCACAAACACTAAAACTACAAAGTTTATCATTTTTCCTTTTGATTTCCCCCACCACCACCACCACAAAATGGAGGGGTCACAAAATGTCATCTCTGAAAGAGGCTTACTTCACCACCCACAAATGTCAGTGATTGGGATGCCAGGGATTAAGGGAGTGGGACACCTACAGTAAACAGTCTTAAATGCACTATTGTTTCTTCTCAGCATGTTGCAGATTTACCATCTCTCCAGTGTAGGATCGAGAAAGGATAGGAGTGTAGAATGTGTTTTCCTGCCCACAAGTACAGATTTGAAGTTGACTTTGGTATGCCTAGATTTGAAAACAATATAAGATCGATTAGATAGGTCTACAACAAAGTTGTTTCACTCCTTATTACATTCATTTTGGACTGTTTCACTAGCTAGCATCTATTAGCTTTTGTCTGTCACACTTAATCTTTTCGTCTCCATAAATTTCATTTGCTGTGGTTAATTACCAGATATTGTAGCCACCTACACAAAAGCAAACTGCATTTTAAAAAAAATCTTCTCTTTCTGAGAATAGAAGAAAATACATTCTACTTGCTATGCTACAACTCCCCTTTTCCATACAAAACTACTTAGTTGTAATAATTAGAAATTTCGGTTATTTTCTCCTTTTTTTGGGGGGGGGTCCTCTTCATAACTCAACTTTCCTATAATAAATTATTGTAGCATTTTGCAATAACTTTTATTTTCCATGGACTTCATATTTTTCTTTAGAGAAAGGGGTGCTAGCATAGTAGAAAATTGGAATAAGTAAACTATTTATGCCATCTTCCTGTTTCCTTTCTGCTCCCCATGCTGCTTAATTTATTATCCTTCTGTGGAGCTCTTTAAATCTTAAAATTTGGCATTTTTGTACTCGTAATCAAATTCTGTTACTTTTTGATACTTCCTACTGCATATTCTCTATCTTGTATTGGCAGTTCTAAATTCTGATAATGTACTTAATATACAACTCTGTAATATTTCTTGGAGATGTACTTCTCCTTATTTTTGGTTGCCTAGGTTATTATTTTGCATAATTAAGTCTCCTTAATATGCTTCAGAGAGTTTAGACAAACACTGGTCAGGAGTACTGGGAGTAAAAAAAAATTACTATAGTATAAAAAAGCATCCACTAGAGCACTTGAACCTCCTTTATTTTGTACCTACTTGGAGGAAAAAATACAGAGTATACTACCAACCTGAGGTTATTCCAGTCTGATTGTTTGAAATAACATTTCTCCTCCTCTGTCTTTCCCCCACTTTCCAATGTACTCAAGAAAATTGAAAAATTGTAATGGATCAATTTTAAATATTTTATTTCCTGAAAGCTTTTTTGCCTGTTATAATGTGCAGGACCCTTCTCCTTTGATGGGAGAGACAGGTAGTTACCTGAATCTAGGTTGAAAAGGTTATGTAAAAAGAAATTATAATAAAAGGGATACTTTGCTTTTCAAATTCTCGTTTTCTCTTACTCTAGATAAGACATATCCCAAATGCATATGTAAAGAAGAAAAATAAAAGTTGTCTTCATGGAAGCAACTTGTTGTCCTTGGTTGTACTGAGTTACAGTTATCCTAGGGGTGAAATAGCTGATGCTCCTGAATGAGTAAACCAAGTAGGGTACGTTATTGTTTGCCATCATTGAGAATCACCAGGTGGTCAGCTTTTGGGACTCAGTTTAGTTCTTGATTTTCTAATGCTGAAATGCCACATGCTTCTGGTATTTCTATTAGGAAAAGTGGCTGTTTAATCCAGTAGAGGAAACGTTAAGGAAGTGCTGTGAGGTTAATTCCCTTCGACAATGGCAAAAGCCTTGATAGCATTTAATGAGTGCTTCTTGACAAAACTCATTGTCCATATCAAGTACTAATTTTAAAAGAAAACACGATTAATCTTTCTGCTTTCTTTAAAGTCCTATTGTGATAGCAGTAGCCTCATTTGTTTTTCCCTTGCATTCCTCGTTTATTGTTTCCTTATGTAAATTTGCTCCTGAAATGGCATGTGCTTCAAGTTTACAATATTTATGATATGAACTAGTGAAAGCTAATTGATTTGAGAATGAAACCTACAACTCTTATCCAATCCGATGAATGTCATTTTCTGAAGTAACTGTAAAAGAATTGACAACTCTTTAAGCACCTTTTAAGTTTTATGCCCTTTTCAAAACTCCACTTATTCTTTATTTTGTTAAGTATGTGATATGACCAGGATAGGGAAGAAAAAAATATTTGTCACGTGAGTGTGACTGCCTTAGCAGTGTTACCAAGTTAGATTGGGTGTTTCCTGACCTTGGAAAAGAACAGTGACTTCCTAAACAGTAACTTCCTCATTGTGTAGCTACCATGAAAGCACCATGATTGTGATAGAATGTTTCCTTGATTGTTTTTTAATCAAATATAATTAAATTACCTTTTAAAAAATACTTAAAAATATAGGAGTGAAAAGATGTTGTATTTTTTAAAGGACCTAGTTCATACAAACCTTTGTTTCTTGAACAAAATGTGAACTACCTAAAGAAAGCATGATTTTGGAAACCCAGCAGGAGAAACAATTATAGAATCAAAGACCTGTGTTTAAATTTGAGCCTACCTACTGGATTGTGTGCACATGATTTAACTTACTTAAGCACCAGTTTCTTATATAAAATGGGGAGAATAGTGTTTACCTTATACTTTTATCTAAGCATCAATGAAGTGGCTTTAAAACTTTTAGCACAGTGTGTGACCCTTGGGTAGGTACTTAGTAAATATCAGCCAAATCAACTCTTAATTATTAATGAACACTTTGAAAAGGAAAAAGGGGGAGCATAAGGAGGGTGATAATAAACAGATTAATTATATATGTATGTAAAATAGATTGTTAGGCAGGGATGTCTTGAGGATTATTATTAATATGATAGCGACCCTGTTGCTAAGTGCAAAAGCAAAACAATGACATAAAAACAAGTGCGCTCAGTACTAAGTAGAGGAGAGAGATGAAGACAGACACTGCAGGGGAAAAAAGCTGATTAAAATGGGTCCTTTGATTCCACAGGCACAAAAATCCACAGCCAGGAATTTGCTGCCACCTCTGAGTCAGGCAGGGGGTGGAAGTGGGGTGCACAATCCCATTTGTAGAGAATACCCAGTAGATGTAGGCTGTGAGAGTCACATTTCTTATTTGGACCAGCATAGACAGAAGCAAACCAAGCTCACTTATTTCCTGGAACAGTTGAGTTAGGGGATGGCTTATGCACAGCATTCACCGCTGACCCCTCACCGCCGGGACCTGTGTAGCCGCTCTATCTGGCTAGCAAGGAAGATTCGTTCAGACCTGACTGCTCTTACGGAATCTTACGTAAGTTGCCTATTTTGCTGTTGTCTATTTTACCTTTATCTGTTCTGATTCGGAAGATGCCTTACAGTATACTTCACCCGATTACCAGTTACGAATGCTCTAATTCTAGTCTTATCTTGGGAACCTATTGTATCTTCTCTTCCCTTAAGGAAATGCATACGATATTATTTTCCTCCAAGCTGTTTAGGAAACAAAACATGTCATCCCATAATGGGAAAACAACATATTTGGGGCTCTATGTAGGATTGTCTCTGTCTTGTAGGTTGTTTTTAATTGATGTGCCTATATTTTGGATTCTGCTAGAATTAGATTAACCAGGACCCTCTAAGTTTGTATTCTTTATAGACGTTCTGAATTTTTGGCTATGTAAATGAAAGACAAGTTTATAGGATTGAAAGGAAGAGCAGCATGAATTTGGGAAAAATTCATAAGTCCAACTGATTTCTTCTATACAGTGTTAAGCACACACTTTTTAGTATTACACATAAAAACTGTCCCTGTGTCTACATAAAAAGGTCACCTACGGTATCAAAAGGATCTCATATACGATTCTTTGGAAACTTGTGAAAGTGTCAAATGCTTATGGAGCTAACTATGAAGTCCTAGTTTGGTTTTCTGGCCAACTATAGAAATACTCCAGGCCCCTGTGGAGAGTTCCGAATTTAGGTTCTCTGAGAATTGGTGTATTTTGGTACAACCGCATCAATCAGAAATCAGACTCTGATAACTATTTTTTTTTAATGAATTCCTACTGCGTTTTCTAAAAAATTGACCTCACAATTGCAAGTGTCAGGAGGGAAGTTAGAGAACTATACAATAGCTACTTTCTAAGACTTCCTGGATGTGGTGGCTAGTGTCTTCTGAGAATATTTAAGATACTTAAACTCCTGTATGATTAAGATATTTCAGTTTCCAGGAGACGGTTTGAAGTGGGAAGGAAAAATTCTTCTAAATCAGTGGTTTTCAAGCTTCAGAATGAAAGAAGTATGAACATTCTCCCAAGAAAAATGCATAGATAATCAATTTTAAAGTATAGAGTCTTCCTAAATTCCAGTTATGGATACCAAGTGAAGAGTTCCCACTCTAGACTTTTTATTTTCTTTATAACTCGAATCCTTGACCAGAGAGGTGAATGAAATTTTATTTGAGATTTAAGGATGATTTAAGTGAGAACATTGGGGTTATTACAGAAGATGTAATGTTTTCCTGTGTACTTGGCCAGGTGAAGCATCAGGGCCTAAACAGGAACATCAACCTGGACTCTGTGGATGGTGTGCCGATGGCAAGCACTGATCGGTGGAATGAGCTGAATGAGGCGGAGCGACTTCAAGAGAACCTGCAGGCTTATCGTACTTTCCATGTTATGTTGGCCAGGCTTTTAGAAGACCAGCGAGTGCATTTCACCCCATCTGAAGGTGACTTCCATCAAGCTATCCATACCCTTCTACTCCAAGTTGCTGCCTTTGCTTACCAGTTGGAAGAGTTAATGGTGCTCCTGGAACACAAGATCCCCCCCAATGAAGCTGATGGGATGCCTATTGTTGGAGATGGCGGTCTCTTTGAAAAGAAGCTTTGGGGCCTAAAGGTGCTACAGGAACTTTCACAGTGGACAGTGAGGTCCATCCATGACCTTCGAGTCATTTCTTCTCATCAGACTGGGAATCCAGTGCATGAGAGCCATTTTATTCAGGATGACAAGAAAAAGTAGCAGTTAGCCATCTCTCTCCCTTGTTTTCTGATGTAATATAAATAGTTCTGTGGGACCTTACTTTCTAATCTTAAGTTTTTGAAAACCTTAACCACAGGCATTTTCATCCAGTAGGGTTAAGGCAGGGACAAAATGAGCATATGGGTTTAGTCTGTGATGGGTGAGTGTGTGCTGAGGGTATAAAGGAGTAGAAGGGAGAAAGATAATACTCCACCTCAGTGCTCTGATCTTTGTACTCACTAAGTAACTTTTAACCACCTCACAGACAAGAGATATTTTAACTCTAGTTCTGGATGACTCTTCTGGGACACTAACATTTACTGAGTACTATGTTGAGGTAGTGTGCCAGGAGCTTTATATATATTATGTGTAACTTTTACAACAGCCTTGTGAAGAAAGTGATGCTATTCCCATTTGCACCCATTTGGCAGATAAGAAAGGCTCACACAGACTTAGTTAAGGTCACACAGATAACAGGTGATACACCAAATTTGAACCCAAGTCTTTCGCATTATAAAGCCTATGTGCTTTTAGAGGTCTGGTTATGAACCTCTGTCCCTGTACCTTGTCACAGAAGATTCGAAAATATGTTCATGTAATCTGTTCCCAGCACTGAGAAACAACTCAGTGCCTACCCTCATAAATCAGTAACAAATGTTAGTGTTAAAGACAGTATTTGCTGCCTATACTTGGCTGTCTTAAGATTCCATTGGGGAAAAGATTAGGCCTACCAAATATCTGAACCTCGGAAGCTGGGGATATGCAGTAATTTAACCTGGCTTCAAGTGTCCACTAACATTCTTGAATATTGAGTAAGGCAGTTTATACCAGCTTTCCTCAGATTCATTATAATGAGCAATACAGTGATATAGACATTGTAACCCAGTCATTCATAGACAGTGGGTAGAATGCTATGGTTAAAAAGTCACAAAATTCTACCACATATTCTCTGGACTTAATCATAAGGAGAGGGTGAGGCCCATTTCTTTTCCGCTGGGGTTGCCAAAGATTTTGAAAGATGAAAAGCCTTCTTGCTTCACAGCAAAGTGGCAAGAACAGAATTGCCCTGCACCAAAACGCTATGTTAGTATCTTTTAACAACAAAGTGTTAAATGTTCTTGTGAGATCCACATGTAGTACCAAAGGCTAGTAGATATGAGTGTTACTGGAAAAGGTCATTTGCAGCAAGGTCTATGTACTAGTGGTACACTGAAGAAGTTCTCAAATGTTTCATTTATTTTACACTTAACTCATTTAAACTCAGGTTCTTGGATTAAGAACCAAAATTAATTTAATTAGTGGAGGCTTCCATATTATATGAACCTGAGCCAGAGAGGGCTAGATGACAGCTTGTATCTTCCTACATGGTTCATTACCAGAGATCTATGAAATCAGTATTATAAGAACACTCTGGGCATGGAGGTGTGATAGTTCAGAGGAAGTAAGGCCCTGATTGTTCGTGTGCCTTTATGGAAATATGGGGGAGAGGGGAATACATACATAGTTGGAATTGTAAGGCACAGGTTTGAGTGTTAGGCAGTTAAAGGAAGGTCAGTAACGGCTAAATATAGTTTAGGAGGGGATAGGGGCAGTGTCTCAAAAGTTGGCTGAATACAAAAGAGAAATCAGGAAAGGAACAGGAACAAGGCGCTTGTTTAGAAATAGTTAGGCAATAATAAACATTTGGGTCTAGCTACCACTAGAAGCTTGTTTGGTTTTATTTTAGAATTTTGGTACAGGTATATAATTAGCTATTGAATGCATATAGGCTTGTTTCAGTTAAACTTTCTTACTTAAAATTTCTCTGCTTAACAGTATCATTTTCTATTGATAAAATACTTATTACTGTGAAGCTCTTAGGTTTATGTAGATAATGCTTTTGTTAAGAAAGATGTGACAGAGGGACCAGCAGTTAGCGTAATAGCTATGTTGCTGAATTCCCCTGTAGTCGACCGCAGTTCGAGTCCTAGACCCGGTGGCTTAAATTCACACTGGGCGTGTGTGCGAGTGTGCCCAAGATCCCAAGAGGAGAATGGAGGAGAAGGGATTGCAGCGTGGCCATCCCTCCTGGGGGGGTGATTTCTCTCTATCTCTCTGTCTCTCTCTGTCTGGCAAGCACATGCGCCCTATAGCAAAAAAACCTCTCCAAAAAAAAAAAAAGAAAGATGCGACAGAATTAGTGGGAATAGTATTTGAACTTGCTGGACCTGAAGTAAATGACCTCTCTCCAAGTGTTTTATATCCAGCAGTTGTGGCAGGATCAGGTATCTGTGGAAGTTTCAAAAGTCGTCAGAGCCTGGCTTAAGGTCTGCTGAATTGCCTATGAAAGAATATTTATGTATGTATGTAAGGCAGATTTGAAGTAGCAGAGATCCAGAAAAGATACAAGTACTAACAATTGAATGAGACAGGAAAATGCATAGGTCACCCTTTGAGCACAAAAGCAACAAGTCCTTATCAAATATATTTCCTGCATTCTGTTAAGAACTGTGTATTAGTTTCTCTAAGAAACTCGTAGTATGCTTCAAGTGTGAGGGAACCTCTTAGTAAAACAGAGTTGAAGGGAAAATGAGACTTAACCATATAACAGAAACATAAACATATATGTCATTATCTGAAATAGATAAATCACAAAGAGACTGACAGTGGGCCTCTGTTATAGGTGTCTTTTAATACAGATAAGGATAATAACACAGTGGAAGTATATATTTTTAATGATTCACAACACAAAAGAGCTTTTTGTTCTTTAGATTTTATTCCACTGTTTCTTAAATGTATATAAGGATAGGATCTCTAGAATAGCATATAGGGTCGTCGGAAAAGTCATGACACATTTTTGCATAGAAAAAATACATCATGACTTTTTCGACGACCCAAAAGATACAGTTATTATTAACAAGGTGTATAAATTTAGTTCCTACCCTTAATTCTTATAACAAAGATTTCTTCTATCCTTTCAGAAAGTTCTTCTTTGTGGGAAAAAAGTGTTTTAGTTTTCTGAGTCTGTCAAGGAATTTCATGGGTGAGAGTTGATAGTTTCCCTTCATTAACATAAGAGGATGATTTGTAAAAGGCTTGGAAATTAGCACAAACATGAAAGCCAGGCATGGAATAAAATTAGCTTTAAGATAATCAGGTTTGAGGGAAGTGAGTGTTTTAATAAAAATGGCAAGTGTAAAGTCATAGCTCTGGTATTACTGTTATTTCAGGCTACTGTGGATGAAAGCCCAATAAGTGTGACTCATTGTTGTGACTACTGGTCAGAGAGTACAAGTAAATAATTTCAGGGAGACAGCTGAAAAGTTGTATAGGACGACTTCAGTTTCTGAATCCTCATCTCAAGAGGTATCTAAGCAAAGACAGCCTCAGTTAGAGGTAAAATAGAGATACAAGAAGCAGAGAGAGAACCTGGATGAGAAAGGGATTAGTGAAGCAAGAAGAAGGGGAAAGTAGAATTTGGATTTCACTTCAGTTGATTTAGTGTGTATGTGTACATGTGAGTGAGAAAGTTCTGAGGACTCCAGATAAAAAGACAATTTGATCTGTAGATGAATGTGTGGAAGGTGTGAGATAAAAATCCATGTTCTTGTGATCCTTAAAATGTATTAACTTGGATCTGTTTGGGGCACATAGAAAATAAAACATGTAAGAATGGCTAACAATAAAGTTCTTTTCTCAGCAAGACCCATGAGTTGCTGCTTTTATTTCTGTATCTTTGGATGAACAAGGGGAATTTCAAGTGATTTCAACATTGGATGAAATGTAATCCTCCCAGCCAGAACCAAGCTCAGTCAAGCATGCTGGGTAAATCTCCATGATGCCAGGCCACTGGGCAGAACTCCCAGGGCCAGTCAGTCTAGAAAAGGTAGATTACCCCTATACCACCAGGTCACTGCTGCTTTGCCCTCTGGGTGTGTAGTCCTGTCAACCAGCCTACAGATAAGGAAGATTTCCTTTTATAGAGGTTAATTTGAAGTATTTGACCCCCAATCAAGTCTTTGAAAGAGAAGAACCTTGACCCTTCCATTGCTATTCAGTTTAGAGATGGGAACTAAGTTGTAGAAAGTCACACAGAGGGCTAGCCAGGTGGCTTGGTGATTAAGGTGGCAGGATCCCGCATAGTTGACAGCACAGTTTTAAGTCCTGGATCCGGCAGGTTGAAAAATATGCCAGGCATGTGTATGTGTGCCCAAAAGTCCTCAAGAAGAGTGGAGGAGAGGGGTTCTTTGCTTAGTCATTCCTCCCTGTGGGGTGCTTTCTCTTCCCTACTCCCACCCCTCCTAGCGAGTGCATGTGCCCTATACCGAATTAAATATATCACATGGAAATCTGAATTGCTCAGAGATTCTGTATTTCTGTTGTACATATTCAAAGTAGTATAGCATTTACTTATTTATATTCCATTAATCAGGCAGCTCTGCACTGTGTATGTCATTTAATCCTCCGAGATACTTTCTTCCACAATGAGGGAAACGAGCATGAGTGTTAACATGCCTGTGTTCTAGTATAAGACAGGCTTGACGTTTTAATTCTGATTCCAAAGTCTACTCCACTAACACCCCATGCACAATGGGACACCTACCAATGATCATTTTTTTTCAGAAATCTATTCTCTATCTCTTGTACTCAATCTTGTTCCGTAACAAAACCTATATAAGTTTCCAAACTGGGACAAGACGCCTTTACTTAGCTTCCTCATTTATGAAATGGAAATGATGACAAATAATTGACTTCACAAGTTGTTATATGGTTTAGACAAATTGAGTATCTGAAAGTGCTTTTAAATGACACCCAAGTATCACTGAGTATGTATAATCTAATATCTCAAGTAGCTTGGATTGAGCCTGGGCATTCTGTTCCTGTTGGCTTTTGGCCACTACAGGTTGACAAAGTCTCACAGCCTTCAGAAATTATCCATCTCTATAAAGAACTGAAACCCAGTCTATTCACTGCACCCCAAAGATGGCTTTCACAGCAGGCAGGCAGACAAGTTTGACAGGCTAGAGGGAGCGAAGGAAAGGCAAACCAAGACACTGTCTGGATACGTTAAACCATGCTTTTAGACTTAGAATCATCCCACCATATACGAACACCCAAATGTTAATCAGGAACTCAACTTTCAATTAAGTCAGGCCCTTCATTAAACATGTAATGTCAAGGAGTCAAAGAGGTTTCTATATAAATCTATTTCCCCTTATGCTCCTGTAGAAAGTGTTCAGAATGGGGTCCAGCAGGTGGCGTGGTGGTTAAGGCTTATGGATCCCACAAGACTGGCTGGGTGTAATTTGAATCCATGACCCTGTGGCTTGAAAAAGGCTGTGTGTATGTGTCCAAAATCCTGGAAGGAGGGGACTTGGAAGAAGAATTGCAGTGTGACCATCCACACGGGAGCTTTCTCTGTCTGCAGCAAGTGCAAATGCTTTCGAGAATGTTCAGTTAAATTTTTTAATTAAAAATTTAATTTTTTATTAAAAGTATTTTATTTAGAGGTTTTTGCTATAGGGTGAATGCGCTTGCCAGAAAGACAGACGAGAGACAAAAAGCGAGAAATCGCCCCCTAGGGGGAATGGCCATGCCACAATCCCTTCTCCACCATTCTCTCAGGATCTTGGGCACACACATGCACCAGGCGTGAGTTTAAGCCACCGGGTCCAGGACTCGAACTGCTGTCGACTACGTGAGAGTCCAGCGACATAGCCATTATGCCAACTGCTGGTCTCCACAATTTATTAAATTTAAAAAAGAAGAAACTGCAAGAATGCGAACTATAGCTTAAGTCTGTGAGTGCACCTCCTTCCCTGATTCTCCATTAAGCCAACCTCATTTTAGGTAACATCTGGTATTTCCATTTATGTCCCCTCTGCCTTACATTTAGTGCCCGGTTGTTCCCTTCAATAGTTCTTTAGAAGTTCTAGGAACAATAATACCTCATGTCCCAGACTTCCTTTACCACCTGAAACCCCACCTCTATATTTTGATGGCCCTAAAGCCTAACCCTCCCAATATGATAAAAGAATGGGACACATTCTGAGATAATGGCTAAATACCTTATTTCTTCCATGATAAGTATCATTTGAACAAGGTACCCAGGAAAGCTGTTTAAAAATACTGGGTTAGGGCTGGCAGGTGACATGGTAGTTAAGGGCACTGGACTCCCACATGGCCAACTGCTGTTCAAGTCCCAGACTTGGCAGCTTGCTTTCTCACTTTCTCTCTTTCTCTCATCAAATTTAAAAATAAAGTTAAATAAAATAATTTATATATGTATATATGTGTATATATGTATATATGTGTGTATATATATGTATATATACAAAATTTATATATATACAAATATATATATATATATATATAAAAATTGGGTTGTTGGGAGAGTCATGGTGTATTTTTTTCTATGCAAAAATGCATCATGACTCTTCCAGCAACCCAAGGTGCAGGTGGTAGGGCACCACTGTGTGCTGGAGCCATATGGAAAGGATCTCTGGTTAACTTGAACACTCTAAGTGCACCATGGGCATCCTCATGATTAGGGTGAAATTGTTAACAGTGATAAAGATGGACTGACATACCTTCCCACTCATGATCACCACCCTATGTAATTACTAATAGCACCTTCTTGGGACCAGCAGACAGCGAAATGGTTATGTTGCTGGACTTGCACATGGCTGACCAAGATTTGAGTCCTGGACCAGGCAACTTGAAACATACCAAGTGTATGTGTGTGTGGGTGCCCCAAATCCCGAGAGAATAGAGGAGAAGGGATTGTGGTAAGGCTATACCCCCGGGTGGGGTGGTAATTTCTCTGTCTCTCTGATGAGCACAAGTGCTCTATGGCAAAAATCTGTTTCAAAAAAATAAAGCACCTTCTATCAGTCTCAACTAGCATTCATGTTTGGATAAACGATATGGCCATTTGACTTAAAGGGTAATCCATTCTAACCCCCCTTCCCATTCTTTTTTATCCCAGGCCAAAATGTATTT